AATGGGATGGGGCAAAAAGTAGAACAAGCTCATTTGCTGAGATTAAAATGAGTAAGGTACTAAAGTTCCTGCTGGGGTTCCTGAACTGAGGGACATAAGGGAAGTCACCTAGGTGCTGGAAATGTTCAGATCTTTTTTTTTTATCTGGAGGCTGGTTATGTAGGGACATTCAGTTGGTGAAAACTCACTAAGCTTATTATTTGCACACTTTTCTTTTTATAGCTTGCCCCCAAGAAGGTACTCAAAACTAAAAATAATAAAGGAAGGCCCTAATTCTCTGACCAAGTGAAGCACCTTCCAGGAGTATGGGACAAAATGTTTCTCCAAGAAGACCTGGGATTTATTATAGACAACTGTGTAGACAAGCCTAGGGTTTGTGTGTGTGTGTGTGAAACAATTAAGGATCTCTGCACATGCTAAATTGATACTCTAGAGTTGTAACCCAATTTAGCTAGGCCGACATGGACATGTGTTTAGTTTGACCATCTGTTACTGATAGGAGCAGTGCAGCACTTTGAAGCTATGTTTTAAGCCCAGAAGTTTCTTGTGAGAGGTCAGAATAACCCTAAACTTTATAGAAAGTATGTATAGCTACCAGGATGTGTCTATATGGAAGGTCCTGTGAACCAGAACAGGTAGGCAGCCATTACAACAACACCAATCCACTTTCTCTAATAACATTAAGTGGTCCTTTGTGGTGTGGTGCACCTGTAGTCCCAGTTACTCTAGCAGCTGAGGTAGGAGGATTGCTTAAGCCCAGGAGATCAAGCCTGCAGTAAACTATTATCATGTCACTACACTTCAGATTGATTGACAGAGTGAAACAGTCTCTAAAAAAATATAAATATGAATATAAATCAAGATGGAGGAAAAAACTTCTAGCTCATTTTAAAATTCAATGGCATCACCAATGAACAAGATATTTTTGTTTTCATTTCAAAATACATTGCATTGTTCATAAGCCTTTTTGTGATTTAATATGGAAGATGATAATATTGTTTTGCTTCTTTAAAAACAAAGTTACTATCCTCTGCAAAGTGAACATAAAAGGTCATAGTTCCCCTCTTCTATTTTGTGCAATAGCTTTTACACTGCTAATGAAAGTACAAGGACATGAAATAAAGTACATAAGATCCATGCAAAGTGTAATTCATGAAATGCAGTTTCTCAATATTTCCTTTAAATGCAACTCTAAAGCAATTATACAGTCACTTTACAAGACCTTAGACGTGTAATTATAGATGAGACATGCACTTGCAACATTGAATTCAACCACATTTTCTTAAACTTGATCTCCAAATGTCCATGGCAGTAATAAAACCATTACATTTTCCCTAGCGAATGTTCATTTTTCTTTCCATTTTTAATTACAACACATTTTGCTTTCAGGAGAATAAGTAAAAGTCTATATTAGAAGAAAATTCAATTATTTGAAAATTATAATTCATTCTCAACATAATGCTGAAAAACATTGTATGCAGAAAGTTTATGTTATTTTTTTCTCTTTTTGAGTGGGGTTGGGATAATTCCTCTGGATTTGGAATTCTAATCTGACAGTTTATATGGAAACAGAATAAAATACTCAACTATTCAATGAGACTGAGGTTTAAAAAAATATGGATAGGTAATACCATATTTCATGTGCCCACCAATTTGAATACAGTAAAATGGGCTGAAATATTTTGGGGAAAAAATGGTCACTATCATGGGTAACATACTTTATAAGAGAGATGCTTGAAGAATACTTTTGCATAAGACATAACCAGCACTTTCTCACTGTGCCTGCAGATCACTGTGACTCAGAGCTCCTGTGCTTTCATTTTTATTGCCCACAAAATTCTGCATAAATGCATAACTACCAAATACAAGGTGAAATTTTTTATTGCATTCTGGATTTTTAAAGATAAGTTTAAAATACATTTTGGAGACTATTGAGGACAGCTGGAATATGAATTTTATATTAGATTATGTTATTGAATTATTAATTTTCTTAGGTGCATGATAATGGTATTTTGGTAATAGAAGAGAATGTCCTGATTCTTAGGGGAGTCATGCTAAGGTATTTAGGAGTGAAGTGTCATGATGCCTGTGATTTACTTTAAAATTATATATGTGTGTGTGTGTGTGTGTGTGTGTGTGTGTACACATGAAAGAGAGAGTGCACACATGACAAAATATTAACAACTAATGAATTCAGGTGAAGAGTAAAAAGGTGTTCATGGCACTATGTTTTCTGCTTTTCCATAGGTTTGAAGATTTCCAAAATAAAAAGTTGGAGGGAACTTGTATAACTGCATGGAAAAGCTATTCCTCTGAACAACAGTGAGGGCATGCAGTTTCTTACTCTTTTTTTCCAGTACGATGTTAATTTTGGTACAAGCTTTTCTGATGCTCTAACAAAATACTTCTGGAAGAATGTCAGGTCAGCAGGCCCTGTTTTAAGTTTATTAACTGATAACCTACTTTCAATGACAAAAGAAAATGTAACCTATGCCTGTTTTAAAGCAATGATTGTCAGCTCCCATGGTCAATATGTCATGCAGGGTGCACTTCATTAGGGAGTGAATTACTTCACTTGTAATCTGAGCTAAATGAACGTCAATGTCAGGTTGCATAAATCACAGGTTAAAATGTATCACTAAGTGCAATCAGATAGCGGACATCACCTTTTGCCCTCCAGAAACACCCCAAATTGGGGTTTACTTTATACAAGTTTTCCAAGTGGCAGATAGAAAATCTCCTTTGTACTACACAGAAGCAACTTTCCTGCCCCTGAAAGGACTTCATGGATTAGGTGTACTGTTTATGTGTCTTATTGCCACATTTTCAATGCTAGTAAAATCTGAAATGAAAACTTCACTGTGTCTGAGGACTCAGTAGCCAGGATAGCAAAGCTTTCAGTTTGATACCCCATGTAATGATGAGAGAAACACCAAAAGCTCCCTGAAAAGGATTCAAACTGGAAAATATATTATTTTGGAAAAACCCCTCTAATGTTCTACACTGTACAGAAAAGGCAAATCTCTTTTAAAGGAAGCCCACTTTATATAAAGCACATCTATTATAATGCATTTTTCCTCGCTCAAGCCAATGAAACACATCTCTATTCTGGTTGCTCTAAACAAGGTAAGTGGATTCAGCAGCTGCATGGATCTAATCAGGTCCAGACGGACCACGTTGATGGTTTGAACAGAAAGGAAGTTTGGTAAAGTGGAAAGAGAACAGACTCCAGGATATGATACGAAATGGGTTTTTACCCCAATGCTGCTACTGGCTGTCTATGCAAGTCTAAGAAAGTCACATATAATTTCTCAGCCTCAGTTTCTTCATCTATAAAATAGGTATGATAATATCAACCTCTCCATATTGTTGCCATGGTTAACAATAATATGTGAAGAAAACACCATGTCAGGTCTTGACACATATCAAGTACACAAAAAAGGAGAACTATTATAAATTGTATAAAAGCAGTAAATTTTATTCTTTTTAGGGGAAAGTGGTTAATATGATTACACCGTCATTTATTACAGACCTACGAATAAAACAAGACTTCCTTTACCCAGTGCTCTTTTAATTGCACCTCAGGTCACACCAAGTCTAACTATACACAAAAGTGTTTGTGTCATGGGATATAAAGTTTCAACCTCTAGTTCTGGCTTATCAAGTATATTTTTCAAAGATATGAATGGTTTTTGATTAAGTAGATCACTCTGATCTTGGTCTCAGCAGATAATTAACGTACATTGGATGAATAGTTCAGTGCACATATTAGCGAATTTGAAGAACTCAATAAAGCATATTATGCACAACATGGAATAAGGTGTAAATCTGGCTTACTATGTCATCTCATCACTATGAACAGCTCAACAAAGACCCAAATGTTCCAACTGGGAAGAATAGCAAGTAATGGTTGAATACCTACTTTGTCTTGTTCCATAAGCCTACTTTTAAGTGAGTGTTCCCAATCTTTGGATGAAGAGAAATAGCTATGCTACATTTCCTAGGAGTTCAGACTGGAGCAGGGGCCCAGCAGTGGCTTCCAGAGATGGGGATCAATCTGATAGCATAATGCGTGAGAGAGAAGTCCCGCAGAGGACAACTGTTGCACCCAGAATACTTCTAGAGAGACTTGTTGGAGATTTACTAGGTAAGGCATTTTACATTGCCTAGGCTGATTTAAACTCCTGGGCTCAAGTAATACTCCCACTATCACTTCCTGAGTAGCTGGAGCTACAGACATGAACCTGCACATCTGGCTCTAGTATTTTTTTAATGAAGATGTTTTGTCTGTGGACCTAATCTCCTTGTAAAGTCTCATCATTTCACCATCTTCATTATCAAACTACTTTTCCTGAAGGAAAATGTCAGCAAGAATAAAACAAGTTGAATTTTCTAGAATATAATTACCAATATTGTTTTGTTTTTCTGTTGGGTTCTCCCTAATATCTGTAAATATGTGAGAATAACATTTTTGAAAATTAATCTTTGCTGTTCTGGCAGAGGGGTTAAATGGGGGAGAAAGGACCCACCCCAGGGCTGGATATGCGGTAGGTTCTCACTAGGTAAGCTGAGCAGGAAAACAGGCTGCAGACTGTCCTTCAGCTTCAAAAGGTAAGGGGCAATAGTCATTATCATCCAACAATTTGAAGAGCTATCTAAAGAGCATCCTTTAGAAAAGCACTCTTGCCATGCAGATTTACATTTTCAATCTTAACCTAAACAATCCTGAAGTTAGCTAGAAGGTCAGAACAGCAGCTAATAAAATCAGCAACTGAATTTAAAATTAAAAACAAAAAAAACATGTGCTTCCCCTCTATAGGACATTTTTTACCTTGCCCTCTCCTTTGGTCACAGCCTGCATAAGATTTTCTTCAGATTTTTCAAAAGTAAAAGTTGGTGTTAAATAAGATGTGAGCATGGGAGGCAGAGATCCACTAGATGTGTTTTTTAAACAGCTTTTTAGATGGGCAAATACGGCAGCTTGATTAAGAGATGCACACCTTCATCATCTGTCATTCGCAAGTCTTTAAGCCCTGAGGGGTCGTTTGTGCCAGATCACGGAAAGAAGTATGCCCCAAGAGACTGAGGACAGCACTACCTGGTAATCAAAAAAGAGAAATGAACATGGCATTGAAGAGACTTAAAGAGGCGGGCACAGAACTCATTTGTTTATCCCCTAATATAAATTTCCTCACAGATCTTGTTCATTTCTGCTATCCTTCTCCCAAGCTGAAAAAGAAATTGCATCATTTCTTTTCCTCTGCCTTTGCAGCTCCATTCTCGTAGGGTGCTCCTTGCATCCTCAAGTGCGCTGGATGTCAGCATCGCCCACAGCTCTAGGCCAGGCCAACATGATCCCCAGAGTAACCTTCACAGGTTTTCATGAGACAAAGGGCTCTTCTCACAGGATCTGAGCTATGGGATCTTAAAAATCCAGAAAGAAATGCAAGCCCTGGACTGAGGTCTGAGAGGTTTGATCTCAGCTCCAGAAGGCCCTGACCCACGTCCAGCTTGCAGCATCCCGTACCAGACTCGGACAAAGTGAAACAACTCAGCAAACCCCATTTATTCATTCTGGTACAGCTGCTCCTAATGGGTTTATGTCCATTGTACTTCGCTTCGTTCCCTTTTAGCAAATTGACTAGAATTCATCATGGTTTTTTCTCTGCTTCTTATTTTGTATTCTACATTGTGTAAAGTGACATTTTTTCTATCTGCACCTGTCCTGATACCTACTCCATAGCAATAGACATAGCAGTCTCAGGAAATATTTCATAAATGAACACAGGAATTACAGAATTCTGAGAAAAGGTGTTACAACAGCATTAATCTAAAATCCTGTGTCCCATATCATTAATTAGGTGGCCATAATGCCATATATTTGTTTTAGAGGGTCAAACTGCCTTCTAATAACAATTCATTGACATTTAAAAGTTGTAAAATCAGAGAACACAGAGAACATGCACTTCTACACCAATTTCACTTTTTTGCCAAAATATTGAGCTTGGCAGTTGGTGAAAATGAATGGATATTAAAACTTTAGAATTTTAATGATCTAGACAATATAAACCAGTCATGATCTTATTTTATTAATTTTTATCTAGTTATTGTAAAACATTTTTGAACATATAAAAATATCTGAATAACAATATACCAAATACATTTGGGTCATGGTCTAGTTTAGAAGATTAAATATCACAAGCATAGTTGTGTATCCTTTCCAAGTGCATTTCACTCCAAGCCCCCAACCAAAGGAAACTCTGATTCCGAATATGAATTTAAATATATATATATATATAGAGAGAGAGAGAGAGACAGAGCTCCACTCTTCTCTCCTAGGCTAGAGTGCAATGGCACAATCTTAGCTCACTGCAACCTCTGCCTCCCCGACTCAAGTGATTCTCCTGCCTCAGACTCCCACGTAGCTGGGATTACAGGCACCCACCACCATGGCCAGCTAATTTTTTGTATTTTTAGTAGAGACTGGGTTTCACCATGTTGACCATGGCTGGTCTCAAACTCCGGATCTCAGGTGATTCACCTGCCTTGGCCGACAGGCAGATCACCTTGGATTACAGGCGTGAGCCACCACACCCAGCCTGAAGCATATTTTTATAGCTTTACATATATGTAAATATCCCTAGACAACACACAGAATCATTTCACATATTTTAAAATTTTGCATCAATGGCATCATATTGTACATATGTAATTTAGTTTTTGTTTTATTGCATACTTTTAAAGATATAGCCATTTCAATACATGTTACTCTAGTTTTTACCTTTTTCACCATCTCATATTATTCCACTATGTAAATATATCACATTCTATTCATCCATTGAGAGCCTGAATTTCAAGAGAGGGGAAAGACTGATGGGGAAGAAAAGAACAGTCAGATAAAACTAACCCTTCCATTTACACACATCATGGCTCCAAGCCATGGGTTGGTTGCCCTAATACTTTTCTCTTTGGTGCTAAGGAATACTGTGTGAATAAGTGGCTAAGAAGAATGGTTAAACAAATTAACAACAGTGTAAGACAAGTGGTGACAGCCATGTGCCACTGACTAATCTCATGCTTCTCCCTGGTAGTAATGGCTTTCTTCACTGCACCAGGGTGCAAAGGAATACCTGCAAAAGGCCATATATCAGCTAACTGGACATCATGCCAAGTCATCCTTCAGAATGCAATTTCTATTTCTCTGGGAAAAACCACTTATTTTATCACTTCATTAAAACTGTATATTTGGAGTTATGCATCCCAGAAACACCTGTAGAATGTGCTTATTTCATGCCATAATCACCTCTCCAGAGAATCCAGGCTTGTGCTATTCAGTAATTGATCAAAAATTGTTCATTTGCCTCTCAAAGACAAGTCCCAAGATGAGCAGTTTTTCTTCCCCTCTGTCCTTGGCGACCTAGCTCTGCCTGTCTTGACATTCAAATCAGTATGTGTGAGAACATGAAAAGAACATGACACTAAAAAAAGGGTCCTGGGAACCTCACCTACTCCAGTGGCGTCTCTCCTACCTGGTGCACTATAAAAACTAACACCTGCATGCCAGATACATACAGCCAAGGATGTGGGACTGCTGCTGCATCTTGCAGCACTTAGAGGGAATTGGGAAAAGGAGCTCCTTGGCTGGTAGCATGAGAAGCTGGAGTAGTAGTGATAGGAACAGTTGTGTGGGTCTGGCCCCCAGGTGTGGGAGTCCGAAATTGATAGGAAGTGTCTGGAGAACAAGGTTACTGGCCAAAATGCTATCAAGTGTAGGTCTGCTGTTGAAACGCAGAGGAAAGAAGAAACCTACTGACATTAATAATGGCGAGTCCCTAAACAAGGAGAGAAATATGACAGGAAATCCACAGTGAGAGCTCAATACAGATCATTCTGCCCTTTAGTTGTACACTTCTCTTTCAGTCATTAGATTCTAATTCATATTTTGAGAAAAGGCTCTTATTCCTGCAAGGCCCCTTAAAAAATCAAGTAAATCTGTGCAATAGAATACTACATAGCAATAAAAAGGCACAACATAGTGTTAGCCAAAACATTATGAACAAACCTCAAAATCATCATACTGATACAAAGAAGAGAGAAACAAAGATTATATATATATATATATATATATATATATATATATATATATATATATGTTTCCATTTACATGAAGTTTGAGAACAGGCAATACTAATCTTTAGTTATAGTTGTTAGAAAGTAATTGTATGTTGATATGGGATGGCAGTTGACACGAAAGTGGAAGGATGAAACTTTATGAATGATATAAATGTCCTATAGATTCTTTTGTGTGGTGGTTACACATGTAACCGTGACTGTCAATATTCATCAAATGGATCTTTAAGATCTGTGTATTTTATTGTAGGTTATTTATAAGGTAACTTATAATGCACTTTTTTAAAAGGTTACATAAAAATAAACATATAAATGAATTATCAAGCCAAAGATGGGTTTGGCTAGGAAAATCTTTCCATAGAAAGTATGGATTCAGAGAGAGGGCAAGATGGCCAACTATATGCAGCCAACTGGAACAGGAAGGCACCCGGGGATGGACAGAGGGAAGGCACAGAAGCTGGGCTGAAGGGAGAGGAAGCTGGGAACCCTGCCCTGGGCTACTGCACACCAGGACTTACTCCTGGCTCCCAATGACTCCTGGCAAGAAGCAATTGGCTCTCACCACAGGGCTCTGGAATCACTGCGGGAGGAGACCCCCTTGACCACCACTTGCGTTGGCAAAGATAGCTGCTTAGAGAAGTGGGAGGAGCAGCAATGATGTGGAACTCAGATGGTCTGGTGCCAGTGCTAAGCAAAGCACAGCCAGGGACAGCCATCCCCCTAGTCTCAACTAGCTCTCATAGGAGACTTTAGCCCTAAGGGAACTGTTGGTCCTGAACTTTGAATATTGGTCGTATCCATCAGACTAGACTAGTCTGATTTGGGCACTCCTTGGTCTGCTGGTCTCTTCTGGGGCCCCAGCCTGGCCTCCTGCTTCCAGGGCAGCCTCAGGTGCCCTGGGAGCCAACACCATAGCTCCTGCACTGGCAACCATGTCTGACCAGTGGACAGCTCCAGCAAGGTGGCCGTCATGCACCAGCCCAACAGCTCCCTCCCCACCCAGCAGCTTCCCCTGTGCCCACAGCAACCAAAATAATTAGTTCCCCTTTTATCTCACTTCATTCTCCATGCTTGCTTATAATTATTCACATTCAATGGGGCATCAAACTTAAAGAATGAGGCACAAAATAAACAGAGTACTCATATTTGCCTTGAGTCTCTCATTTCCAACACAAGTAACATAACATTGTTGCTAATGTTCATAGTAAATCTAATCTGGAATGACATCACTTGAAACCTTTTTACATACATAAAGATAATTCAAGGTTCTGAATATCTGCTTCATGCAGAAAACATTGTGCTAAGTTCACATGGGCCTAATAGAGTATTCTAAGAAAAGCAAGGTACAAAAAGTACTTTGTCCCACATCATTCTGTTATTTAGGGTAAAGAAAATGCTAGAACCCAAGTGTCCAGGCTCTTTTGCCATATTACCAAATATGATGAAACCTTGAGCCAAGGAATAAACATCCATATAAGATTCCAGGCATCAATCAATGGTTGCCTTTCCTGTCTTCCAAAAATTGCATCCCTTTTCTGCAAGAGGCTGGCCTTGTTCATTTTCAGGTGCAAGTTACAGAGAGTGAACAGTTTATCTATGTGATAATAACATGTAGGATAACCCCCAATATCAAGCTCAGGAGGTACTGATAAAAAAGCAAAAGTAAGATAAACAAGGAGTTACACTCAGGAAATCTTGGCAAAGGTGAAAAGAAGTGTGCATGCATCCTTTTATAAGACCCAACACCCAACTTATAGTGTTTTCCACAAGGACACTTCAATAGTCTTTCTTCATTTTACTCATCTAACAAATATTTATACAGTGTCAATTATGGGACATGCCCCTTTTGAGTTGCCATATGTACTGGGGTAAACACACTGGTGCATCATTCTGACCTCTCCCCACATCCACTTCTCCATACTCCATCTCTTCCCCTTAATACAACTTCTGCGATCTCAGTGCAGTTAG